CTACTACTACTACGACTACGACTATGACTACGACTACGACTACGACTACGACTACTACTACTACTACTACTACTACTACTACTTTTACTACTACTACCACAACTACTACTACTATTACTACTACTACTACTATACTACTAGACTACTACTACTACTACTACTACTACTACTACTACTACTACTACTACTACCACAACTGCTACCACTACTACTACTATTACTACTACTACTACTACTACTACTACTACTACTACTATACTACTATTACTACGACTACTACGACTACTACTACTGCTACTACTGCTACTGCTGCTGCTACTACTACTACTACTACTACTACTACGACCACTGCACCAGCAACAGTGGCGACCTCCGCGACTGCCACTCTGGATATCTAGCTAACGTTCATTTTTCTGATCGTTGTTGCGGTCGCTTGTCATATATGTATAGTCGTATGTAGTTGCAAACACTTTGGCACTGCTGTCAATACTTCTTCTTTGTCTTGCTGGTGTCCAGATTTCGATCATGGTCGTGTTGGCTGTTTTTGGAGATTGTGGTGATGCTGATGTTGGGCCTGTCACAGGAGCCACTGGCACCAAACGAGGATGAGGCAGTCCGAGTGTAGGGTTCGTGCATCGTCACAGATCTGGTTGACGGTCTAGGGTCTTGGGTGCATGTGGAGCTGGTATGTTTTGGGAGGTTGCTTTGAGAAGACTGTGGCATGTGCGAGCGACGACGGATGCTTCAGCAAACCCTGGTCCTGTGGAGTGGAGGGAGTGCCTGATGAAAAAGAACAGGCATCGCGCCGGTTGACCTCGTCGGAGCCGGTGGAATTACCACTGGATTGGAAAACGCGTCCCCAGGCCCGTCGTGGAGCCATGCTATGTGCAATAGTAGCAGCATTAGGAGTAGGAGCGTTCAATCGTGCCGTGAGCAGAGCCAAGTTGGTATTGGCAAGCATGCAGCCAAGAAGCATGATAGCGCAAACGGGTCATACCACGAAGGAGTAGCAAAGTAGTAGAAGGATGAGACTCACAGCAAGAGCGAATGCAGTACTTCGAACTACTCGTGCTATTCGCTCGTAACTCGCCGTCGTTATCATCGTTGTCGCGTGGTGGTCGTGGTAGGCCCTGCTCGTCATGGTCGTTGCTGTCGTCGTTGTGGTGGTGGTGGTGGTGGTGGTGGTTCAACGACTGCTACTACCTACCACCACTGCTACTCCTCATCCTACTCCTCTTCCAACTACTACTAATACTACTTTTGGTGCTGCCGCTACTGTGGTAGTAGTCGTCGTCGTCGTCGTCGTAGTAGTAGTAGTAGTAGTAGTAGCAGTAGCAGTATCAGTAGCAGTAGCAGTAGCAGCAGCAGTAGCAGTAGCAGTAGTAGTAGCAGTAGAAGAAGAAGTAGAAGTAGAAGTAGAAGTAGAAGTAGGAGTAGAAGTAGAACTAGAAGTAGAAGTAGTACTAGTAGTAGT